AATCCTTAAGGATGCAATGATATGGCACATCAGTGTCCTCCCTGATTGTATGTCCCCCAACATGATATGCACTGTGCAGTGCCCCTATTCATCTCAACTTGGTTAATTGGTTAATTAACTTGGTTAATTCCTCACTTCACAACTTTTTACCCCTTCAGAAAATGCATCTCCAGGGGCTTCGGAGCACCACCCTCCAAACCTTTAGACTCTGGGAGAATTTTATTTGAATCAGAGAATCACAGAATTATTTGGGTTGGAAAGGACCTTAAAGATCCTATAGTTTTAACCTCTTGCCATGGGCAGGGATGCCATTCACTATATCAGGTTGCTCCAAGCTTCATCCAACATGGCCTGGAATATTTCCAGGGATGGAGCATTCACAACTTCTTTGGGCAACTTGTTCCAGTACCTCATTACTCTTTCCTCAACCACTAGTGCACCAGCCTTAAACAGGGAATTACATGCTCTCTGTCTTCCCATGGTTTGGGGCAGGACTATTCAGTCTGTAGGGAGCAACTAGGAGAACCTAGTCACATCTCAAGGGATGAATTAAGTCGGCCTCGTTAAACCAGAGCTGAATTCCTGGGCTGATAAAGTCATTCAGAAGCCCTAACTCCAATTATCTTAATTGCACTCCAAAATTAATTCAAACCAAACCAAACCAAACCAAATACGTAATGAAGAGTACTTTAATCCCTCATCATTATTATCAAATTAATAATCTAATTGGGATGTTAATGCCATTTAACTAATCCAGTTTAAAATTAATTTGGATTAATTTGCTTGAGATCCTTCACTAGTACATGAGCTCTTATCAGAGCTCCTGGAAGTCTGCAGATACAATCTTAGTGATTCTGCATATGCATATCGTTGCAATGGACCCCTGGCTGGGTAATAAATTACATAGACTCCATGTATTAGAAAAGGCTGATTAATTTAATTTATTAAGAAACCCATTACTTTTATAGACAGTTATGATACAGGTAGGCCTAATTTGTCCTCTAATTAAAACACTGTCACCATTGACTAATTAGGAAACCACCCTTCGATAAACAAATCTCTATAACACAATCCACATGTTCACAATACCAGGTACAGCAAATTAAGATAAGAATGGTTTCTCATTCTTTTCTCTGATCTTCTCACAGACTTTAACCAGAATGATGCCTGGGAAAGCTGTGTTTTTCTCTGTGGCCAAAGAGCTGCTGGTACATATGCACTCTTCCCTAACACAGCTGACAGTGCATGGAGCAGGTCCTACCATGTCTCTTGGGGAGCTGGGGGAACTAGAGCAGAGTGTTACCCATGTCTTGGACCCACATTTGAGTAGTCAGAATAAAGGGAGTTTTCTGTTCCAGAGTAATCACTGCAAGACCTGAAAAACTGTAATTATCAAGCGGTATTTCTTCCCAATGAAGCATAAAATAGACCTTATCCTTCAAAATTTAGGTTCATTAAGTTCTTCCCTGAAAGAATTGTCCAGCCTTGGCACAGACTGTCCAAGACAGTGGTGGAGTCCCCATTCCTGGAAACGTTTAAAAGCTGTGTGGATATGGCAGCTGGGGACATGGATTAATGGTGGTCTTGGCAGTGCTGGGGGAGCATTTGGACTCCATGATCTTAGAGGGCTTTTCCAACCTAAACAATTTTATTGGTTAGGAAGGCCAGGATCACCCCACACCTGGGATCCAGAAGGCTTCATAACGCTTTTGAGAATGAATCATTACTGCAGTCAGCAGCCAAGGCATCAGCCAGCATCCTGACCATGCCAAAGGGAATCTCAAGGAAATCAACAAACCCATGGCTCAGCTCGGAGACCACAACCCTGAGCTGCTAACAGCTGCTTTCAGACCACAGGTCATACACATTAACCTCTGAGAGGAGAAACTGCTCTTATTTCACAAAAAAAAAAAAAGCCCCGTGTGTTGTCTCATGCTCATGCACACACCAGCTTGGTTTGGACCCTCAAGTACTTTGATAAATATTAAATGTTTGGTTGACTCATAAGATTGGAATTGTGAAGGAATTGTTGAAGGATGTGGAAAAGACAACTCATTTGAGGCAGGATGGAGGATAGTCCCACTCCTTGGCACCTCAAACCCTATTCCATTAGGCAGTTTGACTGCACAGCAGGAGGCTGTGCAGAGTCACATTATTAACTTTCCTGGAAGTTTGGGAATGGAGACTGACATCTGCCAGGTGGGGAGGGAAGGAGTGAGACAGTGGGAAGAACCCAGAAGGAAAGATGGAGTTTTTGTATTTAAGAGTTTCCAGAGGGAAAAAGGTAGAGTCTAAGACCTATAGTATCTAGAGACTTTTCCCAAGTCTCTCCTCTGCTACAGATTTCCTTCTCAGTCTTGTACAAGCTCTCTGGTTCCTCTGTGAGTTTTGGCCAGATCATCCGGATGAGAGCAGGCTCTGCCACAAAATGAGGACCTTTTTTCCTCAGGGTTACTGCAGGGGACAGCTCTTGCAGAAACATTACCCAGATCCACCAAAACTTGAGGGACTCAATTGCTACCCTCCAGCTGCCCATGACTTAGAGCAGGGTGTAAAAATCACAGATTCAAAGACTGGGTGACACTGGAAGAGAACTCTAGAGGTCAACATGCCCAACCCACTGCTCAAGCAGGACCACTCAGAGCCAGTTGCCCAGGACCATATCTTACCACAGAATCACAAAATTATTTGGGTTGGAAGGGGCCTTAAAACTGATCCTTGTTGGAGCAAGGACACCTTCCACTAGACTAGGTTGCTCTAAGCCCCATCCAACCTGGCCATGAACACCTCCAGGAATGGGGAAGCCACAGCTTCTCGGGGCAACCTGTGCCAGGCCCTCACTATTCTTATAATAAAAAGTTTCTTCCTTGTGGCTAGTTTTAATCATCCCTCTCTTAGTTTAAGACCATTCTCTCCCTTGTCTTATCACTCCAAGCACTATCCTGTGTTCTTTCCTTTCCTGTCCTCCCTCCTCTTTCATTGGGATGAGCACCAAGACAGCAGGTGGACGTTTCGTAGGGAGTGTTTTTACAGATGTGTGGTGTCTTAGCACAGGCAAACTCTCCCATCAAGGCAATTTGACCACTCAGTGCTGCCCTGTTGCATCGCCCTTCCCCTCTCTTGTCTCCCTGCACACACACAGCCAGAAATGCAGCAGTTTCTAACACGCCTGAGCATCTTGCTTCCCTGTTTATAAATCACTTGGAGATGAAATGTTGTTTGGAAGCTGAAGATGAATGCAGAAAACATTGATGCAAGCTGAGATTACTCAAAATGAGCAAATGGTGGCAGGGGCCTTGGGCATTTAGTGATTCAGCCATCTGCCTCTTTCATGCCCAGAGCAGTACTGCCCACCTGGGCAGTACTGGGACTTGGTTTGTCCATCCCCCTCACTAGGAGCAGCTGGAATGGGCACATGTACAGTCAACAGTGCTTTTGTACGGGTGGAAAATGAGTCACGATAGAAGAAAGTAAAATACACTCTCATGATTAATCTGCAGTTTTAGCAGCTTCTAGGAAAACACATGCACCATTAACTGCACCCTGAGTGCAGATGAAATCAGGGCTCTTGGAGGGGTGACACTTAAATGCATAGGGCTTTGGTTGTTCTTGAGCACAAATGTCTTTGAGTAGTCTGGAAAGGCATGGTGGCTCTGTGATAACAGAGCCACAGAATTGTTCAGGTTGGAAAAGCCCTCTAAGATCACTGAGTCCAGCTGTTCCCCAGAACTATCACAAAGGCCATTTAATCATGTCCCCATATGCCACATCTACATATTTTTGAACAATTTCAGGGATTGTGGTCTTACCACTTCCCCAGTCACCTTGTTTCAATGTCTGACCTCTCTTTCAGTGACAAAATTGTATGATGACTAACCTTGGAAGGATTCATCCTTCCCTGCTGCTGTGAGCATCCTCAGCATCCACAGAAATGCTGCAGAGATCTCAACATTCAGTTTTGCTTGCTTCTGCCCAGGCTGTGCAAATGCTGACTGATGTTGGCATGGCAAGGTCTTCTTGGTGCCAGAGCTGGAGGGTGGGTTTGTCACACCAGCTCCTCTCCCCTGGGCAGTCCCTAACAAGCACAATGGAGATCAAATCCCACTAGTCCCTTATCTCCCTTTACCCATCCCCTCTTGTTCTGTGGTACTCATTCTCCCATGTAGTATAGCCCAGGCTTGAATATCACTTTCAGATCAGCTGAGGATTTTAACAAGCTGCTTAGTCAGCCCTCAAGGGCTGGCCATGAGCTGCACTGTATCTGCAATTCATGCTGCCCATCCCTAAAATGCTGGGCATGGGCATTCTCTGTTCCCTCCTGACAAATTTGCAGCAGCCTTGGGCAGACATCCACTGCTCTTTGATGGACCTGGGCACCCAACACAGGCACAAACATCTGCATCCTTCAGGCTTTCCCCAGTAGCAAGGAAACCATCAGCTTCTCTGTTAGATGTCTGGGAATTAGATTTCAATTTACCATGTGTGAAAACATCCAGGAATCACCTGGCACATACTTCAGCACAGGACAAACCTTTGATCCACACCAAGTTGTTGGGTGGGACACAGGCTTGTGTTGTGTAAGTAGGTCAGAGTGATTATGTACTCCCTCTGCTATTCTGGTTGTGGGATCAAGAGGTACTGTGTGGAAGAAATCACCCTTTTCTTGCTTCCCCCCCATATTAGAAAATGTATTGGAGGACATTTTAAACAAAGTTGGTTCCCAATAGCACCTAGACCACTTCAAGGTAACATAATGAACCGTGCCATTGGAAAAGTAATTTTAGGCCAACAGGTAGGAGGAGATGGAAATATGGGCAATGAAATACATCTCATGAAAAACAGGGGAGTTATTCTAGTTAACCATTTCCAATAGAAAGGCATGGTGGGTGCAAGACACTGCCCTTCAGGAATACCTTATCTACTCTTCATAGCCAGTGGTCCACCCTGCTAAGGTTACAGCACTAACTCTGACTCCTTTTTGGCTTCATCTCTGTGTCTAGTTGGTGAAGACAGCAGAGCTGGACCCTCGGCAGAATTACCTGGTGGGATTTCATCCCCATGGAGTCCTGCCAGCTGGAGCCTTTCTCAATTTCTGCACAGAGGCATCTGGCTTTTCCAAACTCTTCCCAGGCATCACCCCCCACCTGATGATGCTTTCCCTGTGGTTTCGCATCCCGTTCTTCAGGGACTATTTGATGAGTGGAGGTAAGGAGCATGGGCCTCTGGCAAGCAGTGGTATGTGTGGGTGCTTTTTTGAGGAACACAGTGAAAATGCATGGGGAAGAGGAGTCAAGGGTCTGTTTTTCCTCATCTGGGGCCAATTGGATCCCATTCATGGATGCATCTATTTGAGATGGCAACCCAAAACCTCTGAAGTTAAAAATTGCCCTCCTTGCCACTATCTCTGTTGTTCAACTCCATAAATTGTCTCTGTGCTCAGGGCATCACTGTGCAGGTGCTGTGTGCAAAATGCAGAGCAAATTGTGAACAGAAATGCTGAGAACTGCAGGCCAGGATGTTCTGTATTTCTTTCCGTAAAAATTATATTCAGGCTTGGAAATTATGAGGAAAAAGATGCTTTTTCTGAAGTATCTGCTGCTTCCAGGGAAGCAGCATCCAGGGACAGAGGATGAAAATAGCAGTTCATGCTGCTGCAATGGAAATGTGGCAGGGGAAAGATGTAGTGAAGAGGACAGGAAAAGGTACAGGTAAAAATTAAACTGAGAGAGGTGGAAGGGAATTTAGAGAGATTTTTGGACACCAGCAGGATGACCTCCATCTCTCAGCAGTGGGCTTGGCAATTGTCACTTCTCTAGCTGAATGTGGGCAGAATTCAATAGGCTAAATATAGGCATCCAGTTCCATCTGATGCACCCCAGGGCATCCATTACCCTGTTTTCCACATAAACTCTGGCTCCTGCTGCCAGAGTATTTACATGGAGAGTGAGAAATCCAAACAGTGAGATATATGAGACACTTATGACCCAGTGAAGGAAGGTTTAATCACTGTAATATTGGAGCTGGATGCATAACTAATTTTGAGGTCAATTGAATCCGTTTCACAATAAGGTTTTAAAGTGCAAATTATTTCAGCCCCTGAAACAAGGATTTTTTTTTTCTTATTAAAAAATATTGTCAAAACAATGTTGCTTTGTCATTTCTGAATTAAAAATTTCTATCTTATTGAAGTAAACAACACCAGGGGACCAAATCCTTAATCAAATTTCACTTTCAATTAGCACCATCCACTGAAACGTATGTGTGTTTTGACCTAAAGCAAATGTTTCTCTGACGTCAGAATTATTCAGAATTGGACATGGTCTCACTTGACAACAAATTGTAACAGATTTTTTCTAGGACTTAAGTATAGCTAGTTCCAAGTTTATTTTTTTCCTAAATTTCCCCCTCACTTCTGAGCCAGACAGCAAATAGATAATTGTATACTCACCCAGAAGAGCTGTGTGCAAATCTAGCACCTTTTAAGGGAGTTGACCTGGGGTTTTCAGCTCTTAAAATAACAATTTTAGCACCTGTCCAGAGATGGATTATGGGGAGAAAAAGGTGCAGAGCAAACCACTGACAGGTGGGTTTTACTTTTAATTTCTCTCTGCTCTCCAGGCCTCATCCCCTCTGACAAGGAGAGTGCATCCTACGTGCTGCAGAAGCCGGCGGGTGGGAACTTGCTGGCCATCATTGTTGGCGGGGCACAGGAGGCACTGGATGCCCGTCCAGGATCCTTTGTCTTGCTGCTGAAGAACAGGAAGGGATTTGTGCGCCTGGCCATCCAGCACGGGTGATGAACAGGGTCCAGGGTGCTGCTTAATGGGGTGTTTCTGCTTTGGAGAAGAATGAAGGGGTTTTGGAATGGGCTTTGCTAATCATGACACCCTATTGGTTTTGATTCCCTGCAGCACCCCCCTGGTCCCTGCCTTTTCCTTTGGGGAGAATGATGTCTACGATCAGGTGAAGAACCCCAAGGGCTCCTGGCTGCGGAGGACTCAGCATTGGCTCCAGCAGATCATGGGCATCTCCCTTCCCCTCTTCCATGCACGAGGCATCTTCCAGTACAGCTTTGGGCTGATGCCCTACCGACGGCCCATCTGCACCGTGGGTGAGTCAGTCCACAGAGCTCTGACACGATGCCAGACACACTCAGGCTAGACAAACTGGGGAAACAGGGACAGTCCCTGGGTTGTGCCATCCTCCTGCCAGGCTGAAGCCTCATGCCAGGCAGCACAAGCAGTGGTAGACTAGAAATGTGCAGTGGTAGACTAGAAATATGCTGCAAAGCAGCACTCCAAACTGTTCATGTTTTGGCAGTCTGGTTTGATCTCATGACAAATCCCAGCCCATCTGGGCTGTGCTGGGAAAAGCCCCGGAGCAAATGTGGCCAACCTTATCACTCCTGTGAGATGCAGACAACCCCAATACCACAACGTGGTGACAAAAAGCACTGCAATAGGGTTGCATGAAATGTCTTCCAAGGCAGTCTTACAAACACAAGTAGGACCAGCAGGTCAAGGGAGAGGATTCTGCCCCTCTGCCCCACTCAGGTGAGACCCCCTCATGCAGTGCTGCCTCCAGCTCTAGGGCAAGAACATCAGAAGGATGGGGAGCTGCTAGATACTCTGGAGATGCTCCAAAGGCTTGGAGACAGGCTGGGAGAGCTGGGGATGTTCAGCCTGGAGAAGACAAGGCTCTGGGGAGACCTTAGAGCCCCTGCCAGTGCCTAAAGGGCCTCCAAGAAAGGGGGAATTTGAAGGGCAAATTTGAAGGGAATATGAAGGGGGATTTTGGACAAGGGCATGGAGTAACAGGATGGCAGGGTTAGATGGATATTAGGAAGAAATTCTTGGCTGTGAGGCCCTGGCACAGGTTGCCCAGAGGAGCTGTGGTTGACCCTCTTCTCTGGAAGTGTTCAAGGGCAGCTGGGACGGGGCTTAGAGCAACCTGGTCCAGTGGAGATTGTCCCTATTCAAGGCAGGGGGGTGGAATGAGATGATCTTTATGTCACTCCCAAGCCAAACCATTCTGTGATTCTCTGAACACTCAAGCAGTTTGCAGCTTTGCTTACTGTCCTGTGCAGACACATCTGCAAATCCAACCCTATTTGCATGTGAGGAATATGAACCATTTTCACCAGACTCCATGTCCATGGGAGACCAAATTTCAATAAAATCTTTGGTTTTGAATAAATTTTTCAACATCTCCATGCTTGTTCCACCAGTGTGGCTGATGCTCTGTGAATTAATTTAATTTAAAATGCTCTTTGGAATGGTTAGAGCTTACACCACTGATTAAGTTTGACAACCAGCAATTACTTCTAATTGTATTACAACCTGTTTGGATTGTCTCAATGGTTTTATAAGGTGTGTAGTATCACACGGGCTCTTCACTAATTGGATGAAGAATAGCCTTATAACATGTTGAAACCCTCTGTCACTTGACAAAAACAATTTGAGCAAGAGACCAGAGCAAAAGAATCTCATGGATCTTCTCTGTCCCCTGCTCCTGGTAGCTCTGGGAGATGGAAAGGCTCTTCTAGAGATAGGAATCAAAATAACTAGATTTTCTGTTGAATAAAATGTGATTTTTAAAAGATAAGTAAGTACTTGGTTCCTAATAAAAATCAGTTATCTCACAGAATCTTTAATCTGAGCAAAGTGGAAGCACCTTCAGTGCAAGTGTGTTTAAATAGTGTGGGGCTCCCCTGTTCCTCATTTTTGCAGATTCCCAGGGCCATGTGGAAACACAGAAAACCCAACCCAGATATTATCCTGTCTTTATGTTTTGTTTCTCTGAGATGTGAGAAGCAGCTCTTGGGACTGCACTGGGATGCAGCACTTCTTACTTCAAAAGGCTACGCAGAGGGTCTTTGACATTAGCCAACTTTGCAGATGGGTAAACTAAGGCAAGGCCCAGTGTGATCCTGGAGACCAAGAGCTTGGTCAGGACCTGAGCCACCATCCCTCCTTGGTTGTGCTGCCTCCCAGGCTCCAGGAAATAACTGGTCACACTGACCTGTCCATCCTGGATAGGCTTGTCAGCGTTCAGGAACACACATAATCACAGGATATGATTATCTGCAGATGCTTTCATTGAGAGCTCTGGGAATCAGGGGTACAGACCCAAATCTGACTCTGACATGGCTTTTGAGCTGAACGTATTTTATATTCTATCATTATATAACTGCATATTAATTATTAAACTTATATTGTTCTATTGTATACATTGACTTTATTCAAGCATGAGTTTCTCATGATCTTTCTTAGGCCCCTGATCACAGTTTCTCATGATTATTCTTACGATGAAACAGTGATTATATTTAATTACTAAACAATCATCATATCTAACAATTATATCATTTATCATGTACTAGCTACACAGGTGCAGTTCTAGCAAGGTACAAGGCCTACATGTACCCAGGGTATTTTTTTCAGGGCCTACTAAGCTTAATTTTCCTTCTAACCCTAAATCCCCATGATTTTAAAACCCTTTTACTATCAGGCTGACCTCATCTCTCTGCTAGGATGAACAAAGTGTTCAGAGGTACCTGACACTGGCTCCTGCTAACAACTGTACTTCTTTTCCAGTTGGGAAGCCAATTCCAGTGCAGAAGAAGCACAGACCCTCTGAGGAAGAAGTTGATGAAGTCCATCAAAAATACCTAGATGAGTTGTCCAAGCTCTTTGAGAAGCACAAAGCTAAATATAATGTCCCAGAAGACAGCCACCTGGAATTTATATAGAGTGCCTTAAGCAAGGTGAAACCATGGAGATCAAGCTCCAAGTTTGCCCTTTCTTTGGAACTACTTCACAACCCCAGCATAGTCACAGTTAACACATAGTCTGTATAGTGTAGGGAAAATAGCTTGATTTTCCCAGTATTTGCATGGGTGTAGAGACAGGTTTTTCATTTTTTCTCCATGTAGAACACATAAAATATATAAAAGAGAAGGAAAAAATCCCATCTGTGGTCAGCACAATTGAAACTCCTCAGCACAAAAATAACACTTCCAATCTGGCATGGATGCCAGTTTATACAGATATTTCCAGGCAGTTCTGAATTATTGAAATTATTTCCTTTGCATTATTTTCATTTTGAAATGGGACAATGAGCCATAATTTATGATGAAGGCATATGTTTTTTTAAAATAGAATTAATCTAGATCAATAAAAGAACATTGTTTGTTTGGTGCTCTTCATGTTTTTAATTGCTCTGGGCTCTTTTCTCACCACCTGAAGCAGTTTATCAGAAAGGTCCAGCATCATGCCAAGCACCCTCAGCAACATGATGCCATAGCCCATTTGCACAAAATAAATTAAATAAGTTCCATTAGAAATATGTATTGAAGCTATAAAATATTTCTAATTATTATAAAGAAGCCAGAAGCCACTCTGGCAGTCACACCACCAGAGCTGGGATGGAACCTTGGCAGCTCCACTCTCCATACTCAGGCTGAGCTTCCTCACTGGCTCAACCCCTGGTTTCCCATAGCACAGTCTCAGACATCCAGATCCTTCAAATAATTTAATCATGCAAGAACAAAATAACAGCTTGGGGTGAGAGATTCCAGATGTGACAAGGAATCTCCAAAAAAAAAAGAAACCCTTGGCCTATGTGGCCTTTTTATCTGAGTGTGTGGGAAAGTCTGGGCTCTTCCTGCTGAGTCCTTGGCTCCTGCTGTGTCCATCCACCTGGCTGTGCCACAGGTCCCTGTGCCTCTTGTTTTGCAAAGGGTCAGCAGTTGCCTCTTGCCACTGGATCTCCAGCTACACCTGGCTGCCCCTCAGCTGCCTGCTGCCTACTCTATGTTCTTCAATAGCTAGTTTAGAAATATAAATTAGAAATAAATTTATAATGTCTAGGGACTCATCCAAAGGGCTCATTGTACCTGGGCTCTAGGAGTCCTGCTTCCAAGTTAGTTTAATCCCAGGCATCCCTGCATAGGAACATGACTGGTCACCAGCTATGGTAGCAGGGTCACTGTGCATTTTGTTTTACAAATGAGACTATTTTCTTAGGAAAGAGGAGCATGACTAGGACATGGGGGAATGGAAGTATAATTTGGGCTGGAAATATCCATTGGGGTTTGGGGGAGCCACATTTGGCAGGTGATCAAGGCTCTAAGTAGATGCTTCTTTTTGATACCTAGAATTTCATTAAACTTTTCACTTAATGTGATTTTGCAGAGTGGAAGTTTCAGGTAGCAGGAAGTCATCTGCTCAGTTCACCCTTACAGAGTCCTGATACTTTAATCTTCTTCTTTCTCCCTCCTTTCATTTCTTTCTCTTCCTCACATTCTACTCCCCACTTGTGAGCAGCCACCAAAAATCCTGCAGATCACATGCACATTATTTTTGTTCTTGAAACTGCAAGAAACACATTTAATAAGAAAAACTTGTTTAAAAATTGAAAACTTTGTCTCAGCTGACAATACCAGGTCATAATTGGAGTTTATTTCCTTTTCCTACCTCCAGTCCTGACCAAGGTTGCAAGGATTCCACCGGATTCTTAATGTGAATAACCCCCTGCAAATCCCTCCCATTCCCAGAAAACAAGCAGCAGCAAGGAAGAATTTAGTGGAGTCCTGCTCAATATTCTAAACTCCAGCAATAACACACTAAATCCAGTCCAATAAAACAGGTCACATGCTATGATTTATATTTTTCTTTTTGTTTTATTCTTAGTTAAGGACTAAATTAAGAGGTGCCCAAGCAGGAGGAATATTCTCTGCACCAGAAACAAACCAAAAAAATGTATCTCCCACCCTTTTCTCTTGGAGTTCATCACCATCCAAGCTTTACCATAGCTCCAGATTTTTTTCTCTATCCTTTCTTCTGCCTTTCCTTTTACATGGCCATCCACCCAGAGATCTCAGGAATGTTGCCATGGCCTTCTGGAAACATCCCAGTGGAGATCAGTGCCAGAGGGAAGTGATGGGGATGTCCCCAGAATCACAGCACGGTGTGCTGTGGGGATGGGGGAGGTCTCCAGGGCTGAGGATGAGGAGCTGAGATCTCAGTGCAAGGGGAAAGAGAGCAAAGGTGCTGCTGCTGTGTCACTGTCAAGACAGGATAGGAATGAGAAGACTTTGACCAGAAGGCTGCTGAGAGTAAAACTCTGCTTTATTCAAAATACACTGCTCTTTTATACAGAGTTTCGCGAGGACCAACTCCATTGGTCCTGAAGTGAAAACAACTCAGAGCATTGGTGCAAAGCGCCTGATGCATAGTGATAGAACTTAACTATAAACAATGTGAACAACAAGAGAGATAAAGAATTATTTACATTCTCTCCAGCTCCTTCCCAGGCTTCTGCCTGGATAGAAACTCTCAGTTTCTTTCTTTGACTGAATCTGAGTCCCACACTACTGAGGTGGAAATCAGCAGTGAGGGGAGGGAGAGGATTTGTGGAGATGCGGTGATATTTTGTGGATGTAGGAAATGGAGAGGGGAGGATGCAAGGTCACAAACAAGGATGGCAGATATTCGTACTGACAGGAGGGGTTTGGTCAGTAGGAGAGACTCCTACACCACTGAGAAGCCATGTTAGAAGGTGTGTTCCCAATTGTCCACAGAGGCCTCAGTCTTACCCTTTCGGGGCTGTCAAAGTGATGCTCCTTGTGCCAGAGATACACCTACCTGAGAGGTGGGCTGGCACATCATCTTCCTGGCTTGGATACCATTCTGAAAGAGAGAAAAGGCAGAAAATGTGTGGTCAGGAAAAAACCTCAGGGAGGCATGGGAAGGAGGATGCTGGAGTTGTCTGAAAGTTGTTAAGGTGGTCAGAGGGATCCAAAGGTGAAGAAGGACCACAGTGCTGGAGAGGAGGAATCAAAGGAGAGTGTTGGCTCTATGTAATTGGTTTCCTTGAAGGTCAGTTTTATCTCACAGACTGGAAAATACCCTTGATCCATCAGAGACCAATATAACCCAGGTGTTAAATATAACAATAAGAACAATAATTCATAGGCATCCTTGTAGCCAGAACTATTCAGGGAGCTCAGTACAATGAGAGGTCCCATCTCAAGAAGCCAGAGATGTCTCTGAGGAAAACACTATAAACCAAGAAGCTTTTCTGCTATTTCAGCACAAAAAGGGGCAAATATTTCACACAGAGCTGTCTGGAGGATTAAAATTCCTCTGATGGTACACAAGGCAGGAGAAGGCTAAAGGAAAGTGCTCAGATCAACCAAACCAAACAATGCTTAGGTTTGACTCTTCAGCCTGAAACTGGTTTATTTAGAGTTACTCCAAAGCACCCTCAACTGAGGGACCTACAAGCTGTCATTCAAAATAAGGACCACTTAAAGCTAAAACAACACTGTATGTTCCTTTCCAGCATGCCCACTCCCTACTTACTCAGCTGGTTTTCATCTGAGAAGCCCAAGAAGAAGAGATATATCCAATTGCCTTTCTTGCAGAAATGTCGAATTTTACCCTTTTTGGGACTTCTGTGGAAATTCTGAATTGGAAAATACAATAAGAAATAGAAGTGTGGTGATTCAGTATTCCCCTCCTGCCTGTCTCTTCCTCCCACCTCTTCCCTCTTGATCTCTCCTGTATTTCTGTTGCCAGAGGCTCTAATCTGGATTTGCCTTACTTAGCAAGTTCAGATCATGAGGCTCAGAAGAAAACCTCTGGTGACTGATGAATACAAAATATGGACTAATTCTCCAAGAGGAGGAAAGCCAAGCAAAAAATGCTTTTTAGCCCTTCTGCAGCTCTACTGCTGCAAAGTTGTTTTATTGCCCTGAGAATGAGATTCAAAGATTGTCTGTTGTTGGTAACAAAATTAAAAGGTTTTCTTCTGTTGCAGAAAAATGTGTGGTTTCTGCTCAGAGAAAGATTTTCTGCCTATAATTCAATAAAGTCCAAAAATGCTCAACATCCCTCCCTTATGGCATACCTTTCAATAAAGGAAATAAAATTGCAAGTGCATCTGAAACCCATCAGTTTGCATTTAAAAAAAAAAAACAACAAAAAACCAAAAAGACAAAAAAACACTAAATCAAATCAAGAAATTACTTTTCTTTTGTATCCTTTTCTATTCAAACATTTGGAACATAACATTTAAAACATTTAGAAAGCATGGGTCTCCTCATGAATATTGACATATATTTTTTGGGATAATCTGTTAGTTCTGTCTGACTTGTAACCAATGAACTCTTTTCTGCATCTCCCATCATGTGAGCTCACATCTTGACACAATCTTTCTTGGAGAAAACATCTGATACAGGATTTTGGCAGACCATCCTGTTCAGATTATAAAAACCCATCAGTGAAGAAATAATCTACAATCACCAACAAGGTAGGAGAGTATATATTTGATTTAAGAAATCATTTGGTATGATTTATCCATTTTTCAAGCTTGTGCTTGGTTTTACTCCTACCCACGTCCTGACCCCAGCCCCCTTGGGGATACTAAGCCATTAAATTTGGGCTGGCAACCTACTGAGCCACTATGTCTTTGGGGCACAAGGGGTTTGTGTGTTTCAGGCAACATATGACCTTCAAAACAGAGAATGCACTTATCAGGTGGGAAAGCACCTGTAAAATCAGGTAGTTGTGAAGCAGCATCTTGGGTGTCAGGATACAAAATAATTCCTGTGAGCTAAAAGGGCTCCTATTTTATTAAATGATAGGAAGCCAACAAAATACAGTCCAAACATGATTTTAATGAGCAATTCCAAATGCACAGAAAATTACATACAGAGAGCACTACAGGAAGGATTTGAAATCACTTGGGTTTATGAAATGCTTGCAGAAAACTATGAATGCACAGAATATCATGCATTCACAGAAGAAAAATAATGCAAAGAAAAAAAAATGTTTAATTCTTGGTGAAGAAAGTTTTCTGATCCCCTAGAATTGAAAGGGAACAAGTGCTAGCAAGCAGTGCTTTCATTTTCATCACTGCCAGCAAGAACAGAACTTAGTTGCTCATCACAAACAAAAGCTTAATGGACAAAGGTGCGTGTGGATGCTGAGGAACTCACCTCCACACCAGTTCAGAGCACTCTGAACTGGGAGAGCAGTGTTGCATTGTCAGGGCTGTGAGGTCAGGTTTTTCAGAATTATTTACAAAGTACTTAGCTTGTACCTTCTGAGAGGGAGAACCTCTAAGATGCCATTTGGCAGGATCTCCTAGGAAGGCTAAGCACCTCATTTTCCTCATCAGGAACCCCAAAAT